CCTTGTAAATACATACATTTCCAACAACTATTACAGTACATTTGGACATGTGGACAGTCAGCCAACTACCTGGTTGGTTCCCATTAAACAAAGAGTATGTTCCTGTTGGTTGAATAATACCTGCCCCCTTTCTTCTCTCCCATTTTCCAAGCTCAGAGAAGCAGAATGGACTCCTGACTTTGGCCCTGCAAACTTTGTTCCCAGATGGGGAGCAACAGTAACAGGTGCTCGAAAATTCCTCATAGCGTACAACGTCAATCTGCTGTGCACGAAGGAGCTGGCGCACCGGATAGCCCTGAACATCCGGGAACAGGGCCGTGGGAAGGACCAGGTACCCGGGGTTCTGGGGAAGAAACTGTCCTGCCAGTGTTTTTGTTCCACATCAATCCTTGTTCAAAAGAGTTCAAAACAGGCACAATGAAGAGGGACCTTCCCAGTATTTTAAACGGAGTAATATGGGATAAATGTGGGAGTATTAGACATTATCTCTTTTGCACCAGGTTATCTTTTTTACCATAGAGATTTGGGGGGATCACTAGATGATCACAGCGTCATGTGATGTCACTTCTGGTTACATGACCAGAAGTGATGTTGCAGCATTACGCGATGCCGTGTGTCACCTAGCCCCACCCCCAAAAGCTCCTAGGGGTTGCCAGCCTGTCCAGCACACACTTATTTTCTGACCCTGTGTATGATCAGAAAGACTTGCTTACCCTAGACATAAGTCAATGTGAATATGGCCCTCAGTTGGTGGCTGGGGTTAAGACCAACGTTCCCACTAAGCTGAGTTAGTGTGCGTTAGCTCACAGTTTTTTAGCCTCCAGCTCACAGATTTTTGACTTAGCTCAGGGAAGGAGGGCTCCAGAGCCAACTAATTGATGCAGGAGCCAAATTGCTCGCTCACAGCTCTCATGCCAGTAGCTCACAAAGTAGAATTTTTGCTCACGGGACTCCACAGCTTAGAGGGAACGTTGGTTAAGACACGGCTGGTTCGATCACGGCTGCCTTGGGAGGTGGTGGATGCTCCTTCGCTGGACGTTTTCAAGCGGAGGCTAGACGACCATCTTTCGGGTATGTTGTAGGTATGTAGGGCTATCTTTCAGTATACTCCTGCAGAGTGCAGGGGGTTGGACTAGATGACCTGCAAGGTCTATGATTCTAAGACTCTGGTGGTGCCTCATGCAAGGTATCTCTCTCCCCTCTGGGGCCTGCCAAGTTGAGTCCAAGCCAAGGGCCTGCACAACGTGGACTTAAGTCTAGGCGGGGATGCAGTCACCTTCCCCTACTGCTGATGGCTGGAAGTGAATCAAGCCCCAATGGTAGACTGATATTCTTCTTATAGTGGCGCCACAAGCAGTCACTTGGGTGACTTGGCTGAAGAACTGGCCCTGGGCTGAGCCAAGCAAGCAACCCCCAGTACTGGCTGATCTGCAGAAAGTTTTCTTTGCTGGCATTCTCGCTTGTGTGTGTGCGGCCGAGGGCGGGTGTGCTGAGCAAGAGGCTTCTTCTCCTTGTTCTCTGCAGCCTGGGCGACTGAAGCAGGTGCAAGGCATGGGCTGGTACTTGGAGGAGGAGAACATTGCTCAGGTCTCCACCAACCTGTTGGATTTTGAAACCACCCCCCTCCACGCGGTCTATGAAGAGGTCTGCAGGGACGCTCGGGTGAGTGGCCCAAGTTTGCTTGCTTACCTTTGGAAAACAGAGAGATTTGATTGATTGATTGATTGATTGATTGAGAGCTTGAAGCCTGCACGCTTGAGCCCTTTGATCAAATAAGCTTTGTTCTTTCGGTTCCCTCAAGAAGCTCAGAAGAGACAACAGCTTCTGCTCTGGAAGACAGTGCTGCTCACAGCTGGGGTTGTCCGCTCTGGCTTGGAAAATTGATGGAGATTCGGGGGAGGCTTTGGGGAGGGGAGAATGGCTTCAGTATGGTACAGTGTAGGGTTGCCAAGTCTACTTTCCTTGGCGGCGGGGGAGCCTCGCCGGGCTCCGGGAGCTCTCCGGCGCTGCCAGCATGTCACAGGAAGTGACACGCTACGTCGCTCACGTTGGGGGCGTGGCCCCGATCGTCGGAGGGCAGAGGGGGGCGGAGTTCCCCCCGAGGCCCAATTCCGCGGCAGCAGATATCGGGCCTCCAAAGCGGGGGCCTCCAAAGCTGCCACTTTCTCCAGGGGAACTGATTGTAGTAGTCTGGAGACCAACTCCAGGCCCCACCTGGAGGTTGGCAAGCCTACTCGGGGCTTCTGGATGTAGATTGGAATTCTGCAGCACAGTGGTGAAGGAGCTGAGCTGCCCATCAGCGGCAGTCTCTCTCTCCGCTCTGAGTTCGCTTAGGCAGCCTCGATCTACTTATCTGTAAAACGGGGACGATAATACCGGTGCCCTTCATAAGGTGGCGGTAAGGAGTGCGAAATGATACTCTTCGCAGGTCCCTCTCAAAAGTACCATGTAACTTTTACATGTTATTTTCTGTACCCGATAGGGTTGCCAGCCTCCAGGTGGGGCCTGGGGAATCTCCCGCTTTGCCAATTGACCTCCAGCTGACAGAGATCAGCTCCCTTGGAGAAAATGGCTGCTTTGAAGGGTGGAGTCTATGGCATCGTACCATGCTGAGGCCCCTCCCATCCCCAAACCCTGCCCTCTCCTGGTTCCACCCCCCAAAGTCTCCAGGTATTTTCCAACTCAGATCTGGAAACCCTAGTACCCAAAACAGCAGGACTGGCACAGTTATATTGCTGTCGCTGATTTAAACAATGTGTCCTGCCCCCATGGCCGTATTTAGCCATGTTAATAATCTCAAAGAAGCCTAGTCTGTTCTTTCCCCCATAAAGCATTTGAATTTGTAGGAAAATGCTTAAAGCCTACTACAAAAGGACCAAAGAAGACAACAGATACATAAACTCCTACAACCAGATCCCTCAAGAGCAAGATTTGAGTCTAGCATCACCTTAAAGACCAAAAAGATCTTCAGGGTCTAAGCTTTCAAGAGTCAAAGCTCCTTTTTGTTGGGGTTAACTGGTGCCATCATGATTTCTCAGTCTAATCGACCTTACAGAGCCATTAGGAAGGGCAAAATGGGGTCTCTGTTCATGCTCCTTTGAGTTCTTTAATGGAAAGGCAAAATGCAAATACTATCAATATGCAGAAAGCATTGTACTCTTAATTAAATTACCACCACAGCTCTTTTGGTACCAATTTGACATTGACAGCTGAAGAAAATATTTTTATTAAACGCAGCATGTCCTAGACCTTCTTGGTATGGTGACCTAAAGCTCCAAATGTACTCGGTATGGTGACCCCTCCAGGGCTGGCCCCGGGTGTTCGGTGTCTGAGGCAAGCTATTTCCTTGCCACCCATCTAGTTCAGCCTTCCATTTTCTCCAGTGGTTAACCAGACGTTCTTGGCAAACCAACAAACATCACAAAAATGACACAGCTGCCCCCACTGTGACCCCCAAGTTAGTGGCCTTCCGACAAACACAGCCTTTGCATGTGGAGGCTACATTCCAGCCTTTGACCACCCCCTCCTTCTCCACTACACCATCTAATTCTCCCCACCACCACCACCATGAGCCTAAGAAACTCACCCTCATCCCCATCAGGACACATTTTACTTGACTGACACGTACAGGCAGTGAAGAAAACGTTTCAAGGCCCCGGTCACACGGGCCAGAGAACGCAGGGGGAAGCGTGGCTTTTTGCGCCGGCGCAATTTAACGCACCAGAATGCGATCAGACGCCGTGGTGGCAAATAGGGGTTTTGTTTGTCGGTGCGTATTTCCGGCAGGTGTCAACACGGTGAGAGGAGCGTGATTGAGCGATCACACGTAGGTATTCCGTCGATGGCTCGTAGCAAACGGTTTGCTAGTAGGCTTTCCTGGGTATTCTTTAACTCTGGATCTTCGGGCGGATGCTACGGGTCGACGATGGGTGCGCCACACTTGCCAGATGTGTCCTTCTGATCGCGCCTGTATACTCTGCCCGACATTCATGCCTTTTCCGCGGCAAATCCTTTGTGTGACCGGGGCCAAGGTGATGCTGGACTCCAATCTTGCTGTTCAGTTTTAGATCAACACAGCTATCCATGTGAAACAGATCCCTAAAGCAATCCAGCTAAAATATTATGTTATGCAAGTATCAAAACATTTACAGGTATAGCCCTTTAAATAATACCTTTGGCACATGGAAGTCCCTTTTCAGTAACTCTTGACAGCAAGAACATAGCATGACAGCAAGAACATAAATGCCCGAAGTGTGTGGGTCTTTATCCTAACGTAAAGAGACCATCATATTGGGCCTGTGACAGGTAGAGCAGTAAAAATAACTCCACAGTTGGCCAGGGAGAATGGTTCCTGGAAATAACCGATCACAGAGGTGTGCTGGCAAAGAGAGAGTTAAGATTTTGACAATGCGGGTTTTTGACAGTTGAAGGTTAGGAGCCAAACGTTAACAGGAGAATGGGCAAAGGACAGAGTCCTAGAACTGGAAGGGAGAGAGAATGTTTTGAAGTTGTTCCTTTTGCAGTAGATTAAGTGTAATGTTTAACAAGAAGGTTAAAATAGTAAAAAAAAAAAACTGTCTGGAAAGCCCCCCACCCTCGGCGTGTACAGTTTAAAAACCGATATCCCCCTTCTTTAAATTCACTGTTTGTATTTACCTCAGTTCAGCTTATTTTCAAATAAGCTTTGTTCTTTCGGTTGGAAAAAAGAAAACCATCTTGTCTCTGCCACTTTACCTCAGACTTCAGTCAGAAGCCAAAGATTTGGGGGCCAGGTTGGTGTCCGGGCTCAGATTCTATCTCCCAGACCGTTATGGGGTGATATGATTCTATACATTTATTGGGGCTTTTGTAAATCAATTGCTTCCACTACTAGGAATCACTACTAAGATTGCTGGTATCACTACTAAGATTGCCGGATAGCTGTGTTGATCTTCCACTACTTAGATTGCCGGAATGGAAAGCCACTCGTATTGCTTGGGGAAAAAACCTAGTCTTGCATATGATTCTATACAATTATTGGGGCTTTTGTAAATCAATTGCTTCCACTACTAGGAATCACTGCTAAGATTGCCGGAATCACTACTAAGATTGCCGGATAGCTGTGTTGATCTTCCACTACTTAGATTGCCGGAATGGAAAGCCACTCCATCTATTTTAATACTGCGAGCACCTCAATGCTATTGCTGTAATGTTAAGAATATTTTATATTATTTTAATGTTTTATGGTTTTACGCTAATTCGGCACACTCTGCCATCTTCCGTAAGCCGCCCAGAGCCTGTTTACAGGGTGGGCGGGGTATAAATATAAGTATAAATAAATAAATTGCTTTCGTTTGTATTTTCAGTAAAAAAATATTGTTAATTGGGTTTGCCTGTGTCCTTTATAAAGTTTATATCTCCCGTCCCTGGCATTACAATTTATGGCACAGATGACCCAGCCTGACAAAGTGACATTCATGTCAGATCTGGCCCGCATAACAAATGAGTTCGACACCTCTGGGTCAGGGTAACGTTTTAGCTCTATTGTATACATTTGATCTTCCTGTGCAGTTCGCTCTTGGTCAGATACAGGCAGATGGAGTCGCATCTGGATTCTGTGTAAAAATCCACAGACAGCAGGATTCATACTAAAAGGCTGAAGAAACTATGGCAGGCGGGAGGCTATTGGGTGTCCTTCGCAATCCACACAGTGATACGATCCTGTAGACAGGAAATTGCTTGGTGTGTGGAGAACTGTGTCCATATCCCGCTTTCGATCACGGATTCTGTCGGGCTCTCCCTTGGACTTCGGTGCAGCGCCCCCAGTGGCCGTGGTGTCAGGGGTCTTAACCAGACTCCGGCAGGGGAGACAGCCCTAGAAGTGGCAGGGTCCAAAAAGGGAGAGGGAGTGAGGGGCCTCAGATAGGCAGGGGACAGGGTTAATGTCACCCTCAGAGTCCCTCTGCCAGCATGCTGCGGGCTTCCTTTCTCTCTTTCTCTGCCTTCTTTCCGCCTCTCTCGTCAGCATCCCACTTCGTTCCGCAGCGCACTCCTCCTCCCCGGCCCCTTCTCCACCCTGCCTTTTATCTCCCCGCCCCGCTCCCAGGACCGCCCATCCACTCCTTGGCTTGGGCCACACCCTCCTTTATCTATTGGGATGCCGGTGGGGCATCTCCGGTGCGAATGCTGATACGCCAGTGGTGGCTCTGGTGGCCTCTGGGCCGTGCTGCTGGTGCCACTCTGCGGCGGTACTCGCTGCTTGGCGTCCGCTCTCAGTCTGTCGGACACTCCGCCGCCGCTCCTTTCTTCTTCCATGGGGCTGCTCTGTGGGCCCCAGTCCTGTCTCCGGGCTTGGCCAACACAGCTCGCCGCATGAGGGGTCCCTGCTCCCGCCTCACTCCACAGACCGTTGAACTTCGTCCCTCCTGGTGAGTCGTGTCTCGGGTGTCTTGTGGTGTCTGTTGGGGGCCCCGGGGCCCAGTCGGCACGTCCCGCGACCTCCGGAGCGGGACAGATTCATTGGCCCCAAATCCATTGATTTAACATCTCTCGGTAACTGATGTGCATGTGCTTTGCTCCAGATAGGGTTGCCAAATCTGACGAGGGCAAAGTTTGGGGAGAGGGTGGCTGGGATTTCAGCATGTATAATGCCATATAGTCCAACCTCCAATGAAGCCATTTTCTCCAGGGGAACTGATCTCCGTAGTCTGGAGGCCAGTTGTAATTTCGGGATATCTCTAGGACCCAACTGGAGCTTGGCAACTCAATTACGGAGCACATTGCTGCCCACTCCGTGTGTAAACTTGCTAGCCTGTAAAATTCTGACTCTTGTTCCTAGGATCTCAACCTCCCTGTGGTAGGATCTCAGCTTGTGGGCCTAGTCCCCAAAAAGGCCATACTGGATGCAGCAGAATTTTATATAAACCAAAAAAATCTCTTCATTCTTGAGGAAGATCACAAAATCAGACTGGTAATTTGACTCAACTTTCGTTTAACTGTGGGTTAGACAAGGAAACGCTAAAGTAGTTTAAAGTTTTATTGCGCTCATAATGTGTATTTTGGCTTTGATTTTTATTGTTTTTGTTTGTTTTCAACCATTAAAAGTAGTTTAATGTTTTATGTGCTCATAATCTGTATTTTGGCTTTGGTTTTAATTTACTTTGACAAGCCTTTATTAGCATACGTATATACATACAATAGGAGATGAGATTAAATATAGATCAAAAATACAAATCCATATAGGGTAAAATTGGAGCTATGGCGCAGGAAAACAGCATGAAAACAGAAAACCTAATGGTTACTTATCAGAATGTATAGCCATAGCCAGGGGTCATTTTGTAGAAAAAGAGGTGCAGGAGCTCATTAGCATAACTCATTAGCATAACTTATTTGCATATGCCACACCCCCTGACATCACTGGAAGTGTGTCAGAAGGCAACATCCACCGCTCACTGGACTGTTTTGGATTGCCAGCTATTGGGGGGGGGGCATGCAGATCTGTCCTCGCAGAGGAGGGAGAGCTTGTACCTGAATAAACCTTGGTCTTAAAGGTGCCACTGGACTGTTTTGGACTGGGGGGGGCAGGGGGGGCTCTGCAACTTACCTGGCTGCTTCTTGCTCTGACTGATGGCTGCTGGGAGCAGGGGGTGGGGCTTGTTGCATGTGCCCGCCCCCTGGGATCTTTACTGCCGGAGCTCCGCTCCTGTGCGCTCCTGCAGGAAATGACCCCTGGCCATAGCACTAAGAAGAAACCTTGCTACTATTTTGGTTATTTCCGTATCTTGATTATCAAGCAAAAACAGAACCTTAAAATCGTCAGGAATTTCTGAGAATTGAGCTAATATAGGATACAGAAGATCCTGGCGGGGCACCAGATAAAAGGGACATTGAAGGAGAACATGAAGGAGAAGGGGGACAGGTTCAACACAGTCCTTCTTACAAGGACAACACCCCCTGGAGTAGGGGATCCCCTGGAATCTGCCAGAGAGAAGAGCAGAAGGAAGAACATTAAATCTGGCCAAAGGAGATGGCTCTGCGCAAAATTTGGAGCTATAAATTGGTAAAGATATACAGCTGGAAGATTTGCATTTAAAATTTGGTTTTAATTGTTTTCATTTAATTGTTTTCAACAATTTTGGCTTTGATTTGGGCTTTTTTTTACTTTGATTCAGAATTTTGGGTTTGATTTTGATTGTTTTTATTTGTTGTCAACAATTAAAAGTAGTGTAATGTTTTATGTGCTCATAATATGTAGTTTGGCTTTGGTTTTAATTGTTTTCGTGATATCCTTTTAAAATCCTTTGTTTTAAGCGTCAGCTGCCTTGGTGGCCCTCATCGGGCAGCAAGGTGGCATGCAGATTTTGGAAATAAACATAATAAATAAATATTTGGAATGTCAAGGAAAGGCATGGAGCAGTCACACCTTTCCTCTAAAACAAACGGTTCCCAGTTGCTTTTTGTCCCAGGAGGGGCAAGGATAGCAGACGGACAGGCAACCCTTCTGGTTTCCGTGCAAACAAAATGAGTGGAGGGGATATCTCTTTTAGACAGAACTGGAGCCGATCACTTAGGGGACTTAAACTTGGCCCCAACCCATGCCTAGCTCCAGCGTTTTAAGCATTTGAGATGGAAGTGCCACCAACAGCAATTTATGTGGGGTAGTGAACCTACAGAGTTTGTCTAGGGGTGTGGTCACACGGGCAGTTTGCCACAGCAGTATATCGGCTCTAAATAAGCTACTTGAGTTTGGGATGTGAAAAGTATGCAGACGGAGAGTGATTTCAGCTAAGCATACCTTTATTTACTTCAGAACAAAGACAACTGGCCGGCTCGCAGGCTGGGTTATATTCATTCAGAAAACCCGCCACCAACTCACCTAAACACACACCCCACTCCCGATAGGCTATTTACAGTAACCGAGAGACCTATTGGCCTTCCGGCTGGGACCTAGCCCTGTCATTGGCTTGGCTAGGATCCTAGTGGTCCTTTGTCTTGCGACATGAAGCTATGAAGGTTTGAGCCTGGCCAGCCCGGGCAAGTCCGGGCCTGTCAGGCTGAATACATTACAGGATGCTTTGTATCGATCACACAGCGCCCCTTAAGCTGGCATCATAGTGCCACGGACTTATGGTTGGTCATTCACATCACTAACGCACCACAACTATGGACCCGTGACTGGATTGGTTGTTTTTTTCCCTAAGTCCCGCTGTGTATGCACAGAAGCAGACATGCACAGCTGCGCTTATGTCCATGTTCTACGGGGGCGTTGAAGCGCATGTTGGAGTGGGGTTGGGGGAAAAAGGAAACGGAGTGGAAAGATGACACCGTTTATGCATTTCCATGGTGCACCCGGGCAATCAGATGCCTGGAAACCCACCATGGAAGTGCCTCACCAAGGTAGCCACTGGAATTTGCCAGTGTACGTTCTGTCACTCCCATTTGATCCGGAGGGGAGGGGAGCTGTGTGGGGCCAAACTGCTCATGTGATCACACCGTAGCTGTCACATCATTCAGGAAGGGGAATAGTCTGCCTGGTTGGGGAACCCAGAGAAGAATGATGGTGCTTCATGTACTGTGATTAGAATGGGCAACTGGTCCTTTTTGACTTGGGTTGCCAGCTCCAGGTTGGGAAAATCCTGGAGATTTGGGGGTGGACCCTGGGGAGGGCGGGGTCTGGGGAAGGGAGGGACCTCAGCAGGGTAGAATCTGCCCCCCAAAGCACTCATTTGCTCCCTGGAAACTGATCTCCAGGCCCCTGCTGGAGGATGGTAACCCTCTTCTTGGCTCTCTGGGCCCACAGTAGTTGGGTCTCAAGCCTTAGGGCAGCAATCTGCTCCAGGAGGCAAGGGTAGGGAGGTGTCGTTATGGGGGCAATCTCCACTGATAGTGAGGGTCTTGAGGAGATTGTAGGGAGTCTGAGACAATTGTCAGGTGCTGAGGTGCAATACTGGTCAGGTAGGGAGGAGTCTTCAGAGTACGGCCAGAGGTCAGTCAGTTGGAAGGCCACAGTCACTGTAGGGTTGCCATGCCTGGCAATTGGTGGGAGGCTCAGAGGTGGGGAAATGTGGGGGGCCCCACAACATCCTATGAGTCACTACGCCACTTCTGGGGGAAAATGGAAGTGACATAGGGTAGAGTTTCAGGCCATTCCTAGAGCTACCCTATATCACTTGAGGATTTCCCCTGAAAATGACGTGGTGGTGCAGATGCTGCCACCAGTTTGTTTGTTTTTTTTAAATTTCCCCTTTCTGCTCCCAGAAGCTGGGCGCAAAGGATCCTCTGGTCCCAACCAGGGGAATGATAGGCAGCAGGAAGATGTCCTGCTTTCTTCAGTGCATTAAATTCCAGTTGTCTAGAAGTGTGTGGGCATGATTTTGCTATTTTCCCTTTGTGTTCTGAAGGGAGATGGTGCAGGATGGGAACGAGAGTGGCTGCCTGGTCTCTCTGCCTCTTCGCACCTTGGTGCAGAAAGTCGGGTCCCGCTCCGCGGCTCCCGGGGGAGGATCCGTCTCGGCCGCAATGTCCTCTCTGGTATGTGGGGCTTAAACAGGGCAACCCTCAACTAGAAATCTCACAAGCCCGTCTTTCCGGGTGCTGCACCTTCTCTGCATGCCTTTGCACTTGATTCATGCATGGCCAGTGCTTAAGAGCATCCCGAAATGGAGAAGTGGTTTGAGCAGCTGGGTCACCAACACAGCAACTGCCTGACCGTGGGCATGTAACCCAAATTGGTGGGGGCGGGGTGTGTGTGTGTCACATGACAGGATCTCTTTTCCCTCCTGCCACCCACCAAACTTTGGTTCTCGTCACTGCTTTGGGGTTAGGCAAAGCAGTACAATCTTGGCATCATATTTCCTGGGGGAAAGAGCCAAGAGATGCCCATTCCCCTGACTCAAATTTCAGAGATGCTCATAATGGGATCTGTGCATCCCTAGTTAGCAGACTGCTCACGGCTTACAATGCAGCAGAGCTTCTCTAGCCTGTGTGTTGTGTGCAGCTAAGAACAAAATTACATTGAGCCTTGTGACGTCCTCCTTATTGGGAAGACTTTTTCCTTTAAAACATACTCTGTTCACATAAACTTGGTAGATTGCTGCTGCCACCAGGAATTAAAAACACCAAATCTCTCTATTATGGTAGAATGACCCTGTGTCTGGGCACTTCAGAGGACTAAGTGGCCCTGAGGAAGGACTGTTCTGACTGCTGGGATAAGTTTAAACAAATAATGATTTATTTATAAAAGAATAAAATAGGTTTCTGGGTATTTTGAACTGTTGTTGAAGAAAGGAACTTATAAATATAACTGATAAAGCTGGGCGTCACACACTGTCTCTCTAAACACCAAAACTCAACTCTGACAGCCTTAGCCACTCAGGGTAAACTCTGCCTCTCTTAGCCACACAGGCTAAACTGTTTGTTTTAGCCACACAAGCTAAACAGGTTGTCTTAGCCACACAGGATAGACTTAAACTGCTTCTTCTGCCATGCAGGCTACAAACAAAAACTCTCCACACTCGTCTCACTAAAACCCAGAATCTCCTCCGAGACACCCCTCCTCCCACATTCTCTGTCATCAGCCAATCACATCACACTCATCCTCTCCTTACATTACTGCAGTCAAAATAAACATTTAAAGAAACACACACACCAAAACATGAAATAATCACAAGCCTCTTTTGTCATTTCAAACTAATTAGAGTTCTTTACTATAGGGAACTCCATATCTAGATAGGATAGGGTAAAGACAGACTAACTAGCTAGGATAGATAGAGATGCAGGATATGCAAGATGGAGAGATCTGGCAATGTGTGCATGAGAGAGGTGTCAAGGCCAGAAGGAAGGAAATATACCCTGAGAGTAGCAATCTTCACTTCAAAGGGAAGCAGAAAGGAGAGGGTAATCAGGCCTGGCCTCTCTGTGACCCTTTCCGCACTCTGCTTTTAATCAATGTTCACTACGGTGTCCTTCAAGCAATTCTGCACTAAAATCAAGTATTTCCCAAGCCAGAGCTGGCAACCCTCCCCCACACCTGGGATCAGCTAATAAGGACCTGCTTTGTGTTCTCCCTTTTACTAGCATGAGCACAAGGAGGCCAAGAAGCAGGGCCTGGATGGCTGTGGCCCCCAATATTTTTAGAGCACTCAGCTGCAGGAGCTTTGCTTTTTGTAGGCAACCCATAAATGCACCATTTTAAATTGTGGTGGAAATGTCTTTAATGCACCCATTTGCTGCATTCCAACTTCAGGTATCTGTTTGAGCATGTGTTGAAACCACTTCTACCCTGTCTCCCTTATCTTCAGGGAGTGGCTCAGTGGTAGAGTATGTGCTTGGCATGCAGAAGGTCCGAGGTTCAATCCCCAGCATCTCCAGTTAAGAACCAGGCAGTAGGTAATATGAAAGACCTCCACCTGAAACCCTGGAGGGCTGCTGTCAGTCTGGTTCAACTATACTGACCTTGATGGATCGATGGTCTAATTCTATATAAGGCTGCTTCGTTGTTCATTTTCTCTGACTCACTGGCTTTTGTGAGTTCACCTCTTGGCTGCTGTGTATTGGTTATGACTTTAATGCTCTTTTTAACTGTCTGTACAATTGTATGTTGCTTTGAGTGTGATCTGAAAAATGCCTTTCAGGAGTTCAAACCCCAGATACGTTTGGGTAACTAGTAGTTATACTTGGAGGACAGAAATGCAGTCTGTACATACTGTTATTAGATCTGGATCCTGTCATTCCCAGGAAGCTCTGGGACTGTGCCCTGACTCACCTTAGCTTTATTTATTAGGTATGAGAGTAATGGTGTCCCGTGTGTCATGCAGACAACGCCCATAGCGCCTCATCTCTCCCTGTTTTGCTCAATCTCGGCGAACCTTAATACCCTTCTCCTGGGGGCCTTATACTGTGTCTCCTTCTAGGGTGCGGCGCTGGGCTGCATGGTGGGACTGATGACCTATGGAAAGCGTCAGTTTGAAGAACTGGACCCAATTATGAGGCAGTTAATACCTCCCTTTCATCGGGCCATGAATGAGCTGGTGGCCATGGTGGATGAAGACTCCATGGCTTTCAGCAGCTACATGGTGAGAGACATATCTGTCTGTCTATCTGTCTATCTCTCCCTCTGTCAATCTGTCTGTCTGTCTGTCTGTCCTTTCTTTCTATCTGTCTGTCTGTCTGTCTATCTGTCTCTCTGTCTATCTGTCTCTCTGTCTATCTGTCTCTCTGTCTATCTGTCTCTCTGTCTATCTGTCTCTCTGTCTATCTGTCTCTCTGTCTATCTGTCTCTCTGTCTATCTGTCTCTCTGTCTATCTGTCTCTCTGTCTATCTGTCTCTCTGTCTATCTGTCTCTCTGTCTATCTGTCTCTCTGTCTATCTGTCTCTCTGTCTATCTGTCTCTCTGTCTATCTGTCTCTTTCTTTCTATCTGTCTGTCTGTCTGTCAGTCTGTCCGTCTATCTATCTATCTATCTAATCTCTCTCTCTCTCTCTCTGTCTCTCAGTGTCTCTCTCTCTGTCTGTCTGTCTAGCTCGATCTTGTCAGCAGGGTTAGTATTTGGATGGGAGGCCACCAAGGAAGCGCTGCACAGAGGCAGACAATGGCACAGCACCTAAGAATGTCTCCTGCCTTGAAAACCCTGCAGCCATAAGTCGGCTGTGACTCGATGGCACTTTTCCATCATCACCACATCTGTCTGTCTGTCGATGGCAGGTGATGCCTTGACATCATTCTCCCCCCATTTTTGCTGCTGTGGGACTGAGGGCAGGCGCCAGAATGTGAGGGTAGGAGGTTGCTGCAGCAGGCAACCTGGTGGCTTTATTCCACACAGTCCATTCTCCAAAGCTGCACTTCATCCAAGGAAACTGGTCTCCATAGCCTGGAGATCAGTAGCAGCTCTAATGATCAGGTAAAATGCAATCTGATAAATGTGTATTTCTCCCCTCTCCACAGGAGGCTATGAAACTTCCCAAGAGCACACCTGAGGAGAAAGAAAGGTATGTAATATGGAATCGCCTGAAAAATGATTCTGTGTTCCGATGGCTTACCTTTGTCACCCTTAGGCCAGTTTAAGTGTCATGGTTTCCCCAGAATAGCAGTTTCCTGAGGGGGTTTGAGAATTTTCTGTAATAGATCTGCAGGCCCTCTGTTCCCACGGTTACTGGGAAAGAGAGATGTGAGCTAGGTGGATTCACCCTAAGTAGCCAAGGTGCCATTAACTAAAAACTCAGAAGAAGTGCTTTGCGGGTTCTGTAAAGGAGGGCAGAAAATACATTCTGCTCAAGCATTTACCTGCTCATATAGGTCTCATGGGTTCCAGGTGGGAGGACGACAGTCTTATAAATATTTTAAAGAAAGAAAGAAATCTGCTGGGAAGGGGACCAGGTGTAGAAGCAGGTGTAATTCTCAAGGATTTTCTTTTCCTATTATTTTTCTGACATAAAATAAGCAAGAATGACAATCTGATCACAAGAC